CACTTCTTCGGATGCATATATATATATATATGCATATATATATGCATCCGAAGAAGTGGGCTGTAGTCCACGAAAGCTTATGCTCTAATAAATTTGTTAGTCTCTAAGGTGCCACAAGTCCTCCTGTTCTTCTTTTTGCGGATACAGACTAACACGGCTGCTACTCTAAAAGCAAAATGTTACTGACCCAAAGTCCAAAAGAAACAGTCCCAGGATTTTCCTGAATTCCAGAGGAACCAAGCTAAATAAATCCCCCCAGGGACTATTGAAGGAGATTCAAGGGTGTGCATGCTTGTATGTTCAAAGGTGTTTTTGAGGGGGAGAGGGGAGTTAAAACTTATTTTTGCCTTACCTCCAACATGATACTCTGACTCCTCCCACCAAAAAGGAAATGTTGTCTCTCTAATTGCTGAAAATGTTACTTTCCCTTTAAAAATAATAGTTTTGTATAAAATCTCAGAATAGATCTTGTATAGGTAGCAGAAGTGATGACCGTATTATCATGTAATCAAGATAGCAGAGTTAACGAGTTTTTGAAACAGTGGTCTAGCAGATTGTATGTGTGAGGAAGAATTTAGCTAAGAGTTCTGTAACCCTCAAGTATAATTGTTGTAATGAATGCTCTCCTGTAATCTAAGAGACAGCTATTCAGGATTTCTTTAACATCTGGCTAGTTAGTTACTTGTCAGCTACAGGGTCAAAACCTTTTCTTTTCTTGATAAGCTCTGTACATTCAAAGTATCTTTCCCATTTCTGTTTTGATTGTAAATGTTTAGTTTGCCTCCAACAAAGTAAATCAATATCTGCACTCAGAAAAGGCATGTTTACAAAAAGTATTGTGGGCATTTAGGAGAATATTTTCAATTGGATTGAGCCCCAGATTCCCTTTTTGTGGGCACAACTTGTTATCCTTGTGGCATGGAGTATCTTTGGATTATCAGGTATCAGAAATTATAGAAAGGCCCCACAATTTGCCTCCTTGCCATACCACCTACGAACCTTCTTTCACTTAATGCTGTGAGGAAAAAAGAAAGATGGTTTCCAAATGAAGAATGGCTAGGATTCTGTACCCAGATTTAGTGCAGGCCCTCAGGGATGTCCACTATAACAGTTGTCTAATGCTCTACTATGCAGGTGGAACCAAAGAAGCTAAAGAGGATCACCCACCTGTTGAAAGCTCACATGGTGCTTAGGAAGATTGGTTTGATACACTTGGAACTGAGATGACTGTGTTAGCAAGTATCTAAAGAAGGATGGTATATTTCTTCCTGAAGAAGAAACTTGATTGGTCTCCTTGAGTATCTCTAGGGTCTCATTTGTCTTTCTGCTAAAAAGATCTATTGCTTCTAAAAAGGGAAGTCCGATACACTTTGGTATGGACCTCCTGAAAGAGATTAGAAGTCCTCAGTCATCAATGCTAACAGATTGTCCTAGCCACTGCCACACTATTGCCTGATTGCTAAGTGCATTGCTTGGAGCTCACAAGGAATGTCTAGACACATTTAGCTTCTTTGTAATGATTCTATCTTCTGCTTGTTATGCATGTAATCCAAAAAAAGATGTGCCTTTGCAGCTGTACCTCACCACTACTACTTGACGATTAAAAAAATCATTGCCCTTACAGTACTATTTGGCCACTGGTTCTATATGCTGGGGTCAAGAAGAGTGCCCAGGATCCATGCTACCTCTTTTTCATAAGCATTTAGAACAGAAGCTCTGTAAAATGGTTCTGCTAGTAGATTTGAACCCTTGGGTTTCTAGGTAAAGGCACCGGCTTCTTGGATTCTAGAGCAGAGCTGTCCCAGACTGGGACGGAGTTCATTCCGTTGAGATTACTTGTACAGAAGAAAGACAGCTGGGTACTAAATGTTTCCCCCATTACCAGCAGTAATACAGGCCAAGGGGTAAATCCAGTGCAAAATGAGATTATCATAGGGAATGCCCCTACCTTAGATTATTCAGAAACCTGGGTGTGCAGGTCCATGACAGACATCCTATTTACACCTAAACTTTTTATCCAGATGTACAGTGTCAGAACAGAATGAAACCAAGCAATAGCGGTATTAAACTCAAAACAACATGTACTACAAACTAACAAGTTGTTTTTCATCTTAAAAACAAACTTTTAAACTGTTACCAAACACTGCTTTTATTACAACATAGAATGGGCTGGTATGATGCACTGCCTATGGTGATGGAGGGGGGAAAAAGTGGTGATTGGTGCAGTAGATCAACTGTAGCACCTACATAATTTTCCACTGATCATTTGGATTCGTGATACAGTCCCAAAAGTCATTGCTTTCTAGGTGGTTCTAGGACTCGTGCTGCACAGAGTAGAGGATCTACAGAGGCAGTTCTCGATAAAAGATTTTGGTTTTACTGCATTCTAGCTTAATAGTCTGAATGACAGTTGATGGAACACAACTGCTCTGTAGTAATAAGCACTTTTTTGGCTCTGCTTTTGGAACAGATCACTTTATAAACAGTACCGGACAGGCCATTAGTCTAAAGCTTTTATGTAAAGTTTTACTTTGTACAAATCAATATTTTCGTACTTTGAACGATTATCTACTCATTGGGCAGCAATAGTCTGACAAGTAAATAACTAATGTGCAAAAACATATAGGCTGTAAAGAAAGAAAAAACAAAGTTACCTTTTTATATTTGTCTGCAGTTTATTGCTGTCAGAAGGTTTGACCAAAGTGGGTGTTTTTCGGTTAGCCATAATTATTTCTTGAATCTGGAATAAAAATACATAACCATAGCTGTCACAACACATCCTGGGATTTATGTGCAAAAGCATTTAAACAATCTTTTAAATAAAGAACTGTGGAAACATGAACATTTTATGTAATATTTTTCTGACTGTCTTGAGCTTTTAACAATGGGATCACATCTGAACCGTTATAAACATCTCATCTAGGTATTTACATTACCTCATTACTGTGGTATGAGTGCCTTAAAAAATAACCAATGTGAGAATGTGAATTTTGTTCACTTTTATGATTTTTTACTTTAGGCTGTGGTTCCTCTGTTGGATTTTAAAGTTTACTCCTAATAAAATATACTTCATGTAGCGTTATGCAGTGCAACATACATGCACAAGAAATTTGTAACCAATTTTACCTCAATGAAATTATTATAAAACATCCATATAACAAGTCTTTAGTACCATATTAGTTGCAAAGAATGGTTACTTACTCTGCAGTAACTGTGGTTCTGTGAGATGTGTTCTTTACATTTATTTTACTTCAGGTGTACATGCACCCCATTCACAAGATCGGATTCTTTTTGAATAGCAGTTTCTTTTGAGGCCACACCTGTGCCCTGAATTGCCCTCTCATTCCCTGTAGCCAAGGGAATAAAGGATGGAGTAGCTGCAATTATCCTCCAATTTCTTCACTAAAATGGAATCCAGATGATATAGGAGGAGGGCAGGTCTTGGAATAAATGTGGACAACACATCTCTCTATAAGAACTACAGTTACTGTAGAGTAAGTAACCCATTCTTTCTTCTTTGAGTGATAGTCCACGCGTATTTCCATTTCTGGTGCCTCACAAGCAGTGACCTCTGTCTAGAGGGGAGTGCTTAGGATCTACTGGGAATAAAGACAGCTCTGCCAAACTGAGCATTGGATTTGGAGCCACCTACCAAATAAGTAGTGCTGGGTGAATGTATGACTTGAACTCCAGGTAGGTGCTCTACAAATCTTTAAGGTAGAATGCCCCTTAGGAAGCTGCAGAGGCTGTTTGAGCTCTAGTAAAGTGGGTTCTAATCTATGGTGGTTCCAAGTGAACTATTGCAAAACAAGTTCTGATTCAGTCAGAAACCCATTTAGATAGTCTTTGGGTAGATATTGACTGACCTTTCATCCTGTCAGCAAAGGCCAGAAACAGTCTAGGGAACTCCTGAATGGTTTTGTCCTGTCCAGATAGTAAGAGGACTGGACAACATCTAATGTATGAAGCTTCACCTCCCCTTGAGTATGAGGCTTGGGAAAGAAAACTGGCAGATGGATGTCTTGATTCAGGTGAAAAAGTCAGAGACAACTTTAGGCAAGAACTTCAGGTGAGGCTTTTGTGTCACCTTGTCCTTCCGGAATACTGTACAAGGAGGTCCGGCCATGAGGGTTTGGGTCTCTCCTATTCTTTGGGCTGAAGAGATTTCCACTAAGAGGATGGATTTCATAGACAGGTGACATAAAGAACAGGTTGGCATAGGATCAAAAGATGGCTGATATGAATGCCAATAACACAATGTTGAAGTTTCAGGAGGGTGGAGTCTCTCCAATAGGAAGAGGATGAGCACAAATAGCTGCCAAGTGGACTGGACTCTTCTGGAATGGATGGAAAGTCTCAAATGCTTTAAGGCTTTAATCCAAACTAGCTGGTATTGAGGTTTCTAGTGGGAGTAAGTGTTTTTGTGTTCCCAAATAGAGAACTTTTCCTATTTTGCTACACAAGTCAGTCTAGTGGAATCTTTTCTAGTACAAACAAGAATGGATATAGACATCCATGGAGTAGGATCTGCCCATGGACGTCAGCCAGCCAGCAACCCAGGTAGGGAATCTGGCCTCTGCTCTGCATTATCACAACAGGTGGCTCTGGAAGTGTGGCTGGGTACTGTGTTGATCGATTCATCATGTCTGAATATCAAAACTGTGTGGGTCATGCAGGCGCTACCAGTATCATCATGCTGCACCATGTCTGACCTTCCTCAGAACCCTCAGTATTAGAGGAATAGGTGGGTATGCATACATGAAGTCTGATGCCTAAGGAATAAGGAAGGCATCCAACAGTGAGCCTGGGTTGGACCCTTTCAGTAGCAGAACATCTGACACTTGTTGTTCTGGTTCATGGCAAATAAGTCTATTCTTGGATACTCACTTGCAAAAGATGTTCTGCAGAACACTTGTCATTGTTTGAGTATTGCCTGCTGAGTTTGTCAGCTAGGGAGTTTTGTAATCCTGAGAGATGCAGAGCCACTAGCGTGATGCAATGATGAATGTACTATTTCCATAGACAGACTGTTTATTGGCAGAGTGGTGATGTCCACACCCTCCCTGCTTGTAGATGTAAATTTTTTTATTAAAGCTAATGTTTAAAATCAAATTTACACAAGTGAAGAGGGAAGTTACTGTACATCTGGGGTCAGGCGTGAATTATGAGAGATTACAAGTATTGGTGTAGCAGGGCGATGACTCACCGGCGCGGCGCCTCCTGCTGGTCATCCAGGGAATTAGCTCACCAGCCTCCGGAGCGCCCTCTGTAGGCCGGTGTCTCGCCTTGCCTCTGGCCCCCGTGTCCCTCCCGGACCCCGGTGCCCCTTTACATTGGGGGCTGCCCCCTGGCAGTACCCCCACAGATCTGGGTCTCCCCTCCCTGGGGAACTCCCAACCCCCTATCCCCACCTCGCCTCAGTGGCTACTGCCGTCACCATCTAGCCCCCGTTCACTGGGACTGACTGCAGTCTGTAATGGCCACTCATCACCGACAAGGGGGGGTTTGGACCTGCTGCCTCTGCCTGCCCTTGGCCTGCCCTCTGCAACCCCAGTACCTTCTTTGGCCTTTAACAAGGCCTGCAGCCTAGGAGGTTTCTAGCAGGGCCGACTCCAGATTTTCTGCCGCCCCAACGCGGGAAAAAAAAAAAAAAAAGGAAAGCACTTTGGCGGCAGCTCAATTATGCCGCTCCATTCCTTGGCGGCACTTCGGCAGCGGGTCCTTCCCTCCCTCTCTTCCTCTTCAGCGGCACTTTGGCAGAAGCTCAAAGAGGAAGAGAGGGACTGAGTGACCCGCTGCCGAATTCCCACCAAAGACCTGGATGGGCCGCCCCAATAGCGGACGGAGTGCCGACCCTTTGTATTGGCCACCCCAAGCGCCTGCTTCCTTAGCTGGTGCCTGGAGCCGGCCCTGGTTTCCAGGCTAGAGCTCCCTAGCTCCTCAGGCCTTCTCCCAGCCCTGACCCACAGTACCTTTTTCTGGCCTTTAACAAGGCCTGCAGTCTGGGGGGTTTCTAGGCCAGAGCCCCCCAGCTTCTCTGGCCTTCCCCCAGCCCTGCTCCAATCTTGGTACCCTCTCAGCTTCCAGGCAGCCAGGCTCTTCCCTCTCTACTGCCAGAGAGAGACTCTCTGTTCCTTCTGGCCCACTGCCCTCTTATAAGGGCCAGCTGGGTCCTAATTACACAGGCTACAGCTGTGGCTGTTTTCCCCAAACAGCCCAGCTTTTTCCTTCTCAGCCCTCTGCCAGGGCTGTTTTAAGCCCTTCAAGGCATGGCGCGGTGATCACCCCACCACAGTTGGTTACAAGGTTCACAAGATACAAACTTAGTGTATAACCAGCATAAACCCAGATTGGGTGTGGGAGTTTTTAAAGCATCAGTGGATAAGTGATCTCGGGTACGCCACCCATAGAATGTATTTAGAGTCCAAGTCAGTACTGGTGTAACGAATAGATACATGGGTGGGGTGCGTCCCTTGGTTCATCAGGGAAGGAAGTGGGTTATTTCCCTGACCGGCGGTCTCGTTTACTCATTCTAATACTGACAGTGTCATGTGATGTACTCGGTGGAGATGTCTCTGGACCACCTGATGGTGTCGGACACCATGAGCTGTCTCATGAGCCGGGCATAGCGCCGACCGACTCCACACGCTCTCTGCACCAGCTCGTTGTGGGGGTCTCATGCACCCAGGGCTCCCACGACCAGGGCGTGGATCTGGACCTCGTAGCTCTGGGCTCTCAGGGTGTGGGCCAGCGGAGTGTATTTCAACACCTGTTGCAGGTCCTTGAAGCATGGGATGATACACTGTGCTTCGTAATCAAATGGCTCTGAGCGCCAGGAACTTACGTGGAGATGTACCTCCTGGAAGGACCACAGGTCTTGATTCAGAAGGTAGTCCAGATGAATTTCCCATTTGAGAGAGGAAGTGTCTGTCACCAACAGCTTAGTAGGTAGGGGTACGGAGAATGGTACGCCACTGTACAGGTGTAGAGTGTCCTTTTAGCAGTTTAACTAAGAGAGGACTTCATCTAGGACCACAACCATCATGTCTATGTGGTGTCTTCTGGGTAGATACACTGATCTCAACCACCCATGCATGCAGCATAGATAAAATTGGGTAAACTGCTTCACATAGTTGCAGGAGGCCAGATGACCCATGAGTCTGGGCACGTTCTGACTGATATCTTTGGGTGTGCTTGAAGTAGATGATCACCCTAGGAGAAGTGATTTTTCTTTTCTCTCTTCTTAGAAGATAGTGTTGAGACAGGTGGGAGTCTCTTGATGACAAATGGGCCCTGAAGATCAGAGTGGACCCATGGTTTACCAAAGCACTCACAGAGACAGTCAGGTCCTGTTTGTCAGTCTTTTTCCCCTTTGGCTCAGAGGATGCTCTCACGGATCTCTCCAAGTGGAAGAATTTTAGGCAGGTTTCCCTCACTTTTTGTGCCCTCTTTGAAAAAACAACATATCAAGCACTTATCTGGAATATGTGCTTCACTGAGAGAGGAGGCACTCTGAGCATTCATCGTCAATGGGAATAGCTGCCTCACAGGAGAGACAGGATTTGAATGCTGGGGCTTTCGACTCTGCCATGTCCACCAGGGTCGGGTACAGAAGGCACTCCCGAAGTTGAAGAGCTTGTCTTCTTTTCATTCTTTTTGGCCAACTAGCTTAACTAAGCTAAACTAACTTTACTATGGAACACGTCTAACAACCAGAGAAAACACAAACAATCACACATTGGGCAGAGATGTGGACTCTGTAGGGGTTCTGTTTCATTGACATGGATGGTAAGAATGACATGGAGGGAAGTCCGGCCACTCGGCCCTCCATGCCCTCAGCTATGAAGAGTGAGAGTGTTCAGAACAAAGGCATGGCCCCAACAGACACTGTTATTCAAAAATAATCCAATCTTACATGCATGTGGCACGTGTGCACCAGTTGTGGAATACATGTGGACAATCACTTGAAGAAAAATATCATGTTTTTAAATAACCATATACAAATTTTAAAAATTAATTTGTAACTATTGTACTTTATCAACATGGATTCTACAAGAGGAGATTTCTGTTCATTGCTATTGCTATTATTTGGACTATTCAGACAGCCAGAGGACTTTGCAAGAGAATAGAAAAGAGAGCTATTTTAATATCATTGTTCAGAGGGATCTAGAAAAGGAACTGCTAAGTACAAGCTGAAAATATGCTGAAAATTATTATCCTTGCTGCAAGAGAAGCAAGGATAATAATTCTCAGAATTAACAGCAATGTGACTGGAAACATGAAATGCTTTCTTTTACTTCATGTGGAATTTATTCTCTCCAAAATCTGAGTTACACCAAGGTCACAGAGGAGCAAGACAAAGGCTCATTTATTTTTGCTTTTAAAAGAACTGAAAGCTATGAACAGAATGGAGGAGGATGAGTGTTGAAAGGTGTTGGGACCTGATTCAAAGCATATTGAAGCCAATGAAGAGATTCTCATTGACTTCAATGGCTTTGGATCAGGTCACTACTGAGACGTGATTGGACTTTCCAGAGTATTACAGAACGCCTACAGAGAGGAAGCCTATTTATTTAGATTATATAATATTCTTTAAATTTCACTAACATAAAGAATTTGCTAGCTCATTTATCTAGTTGCAAATCATTTTCTTTTGGGAATAAGTGTAAATCTAGAATACAAAGGTTAAACATAGCAGGATAATTATTAGGCTTGCCTTATCACTGACACATCCTGAGAGAACTCTGCCTGAACTCTCAGTCATCTTTACTCTGGTAATGCATATCAAGCTTGATATTATCAAATGAATACTCACAAGTAATGCTGATGATCTCAGCTATACTAGCCTAAATGAGACTAGCTGGTGGTCTCCATAATGTTGCTAACCTTTATTAATTATGCTTTTATAACACCCAAGGAAGTCCAGAGATACCTTCATGGGGTATGTCTCCATAGTGTCAACAGGACTCCTGCAATTCTGGAAAATGGTCTACATCTCCACTAAACAAGCTATGTGCTCTGCCACATGTGCCTAGGGATGAGGAATGGAATCTGTCACTGGGGATGGGCAGGAGAAGCCAATGTATGCTGCTGCTCCTAACATACATGCATTTTCAGGCCAGTGGTTCCATGCAGTTTCTGGACCCACTGGCAACAGGGGTCAGCATGTCTTGCAGCATCCTGCTCCTGTCTCACACATACACACCTGTGGGTGGACAAATGCATAAGCATGGCACAGAAATGTGGAGGGGGCTGTGCAACTTCCCTGTTCCCTAACCCTCTATTCAGCAGACTTCCCCATTGTTCATGATTTTGCTGTGATCTGGCAGCTTGGATTTCACACTTAATGACCAAGGAACTTAGTAATTCCAAACCCTCATCTAAATAACTTACCTAAAACACAAAGTTAATCATAGGGTAAATACAATCCAAATTGTGATATTAAGGAGGGAATATTCACTTAGCATCTGTCGGACTGGCTTTCTTGGCAGGTCATTTTAGACAGTATATTTGAGTATATTTAGAGACTATCTGGGATATTGTACATTTTAATATATTGTAAGGACACTAAGGGCACAGGATAGGCATCTATTAGTATTTTAAAAAATTGAAAGAATAAATGAATATCTATTCAAGATTCGTTCCGTTCAAACAAACATTCAGAAGGTGCATCAATCAAGATGCCTAATGTCAGAGCCCATGTTTCAAAGAAATCAGTTTAAGAAAAGCACAAATTTATCAGGCTTTCATCTAAGTGAATTTTGAACATTACCAAGATGTGAATCTTGATCAAGGGAATGAAATCATAGGCAGACTTCCAGCTACTGGTGAAGTTGCAAGCTTGCTGTTAGAGCTACAGTATATGAGTTAATGAGAGGCTTTCCAGGCAGGGGTGGACAGATGGTGTGCAACTTGAGGGAAACAGACTAGATATAAGACACGGAACTAGAGTAAGAGAAATAAAAATTTAAAAAGAACTTTGTTAGAATAAAAGAGATTTAAAAAAATACTGTTCTTATCTTACCGCTACCTCCGTAGCTTATGGTCACTCAAAAATTTTTAAATACGGGGCCAGATCCTCATCCCCCAGTTGCATCCCCTTAGCAATGAATCATGGTGCAAAGGGAAAGGGAAAACTGCCCTAGTTGGGCAGCTGGGGATTCCTGTTGCATAAGAGAATGCCCAGGACAATGAATAGCTGGCATAGCCAGTTCGAACACCACCTTTTCATGGTTGCACAGCATAAGAGCATGTCATAGGATGCAAGGGGTGTGGCCAGAGCACCTGGTTCTCCAGTCATCCTTCAATCCTGGCTATGGTAAGTCACAGCAGCTTCAGGGCTGCTCTAATTTATGCTAAAAGGATAGGGGAGCACAAAAGTTACTCTGCCCCTCCCCAACAGTCCTGTATCAAAAAAAGCTTGGCTGGACCAGCATACCTGGGCCATAATGTAGTCTGCATCATATATATGTGAAGCATGCATAGTTTTAAAGTATTTTTCTCATTTCATTCATCTTAGAGCTGGTCCACACTAACCCCCCCAGTTCGAACTAATATACGCAACTTCAGCTACGTGAATAACGTAGCTGAAGTCGAAGTACCTTAGTTCGAACTACCAGGTACTTACCGCGGGTCCACACGTGGCAGGCAGGCTCCCCCGTCGACGCCGCATACTCCTCTTGCGGAGCAGGAGTACCGGCATCGACGGCAAGCACTTCCGGGATCGATTTATCGCATCTAGACAAGACGCGATAAATCGATCCCAGAAGATCGATTGCTTACCGCCAAACCCGGAGGTAAGTATAGACGTACCCTTAGAGTAGAAAGTAGACTTGTCTATTCATAGTCAGTTTAAATTTTCTGGTTCTCATGAGCTATCACAATTCTTCTCTGTTTGGACTGCAAATTCTTCATGAAATATTTAAATACTAAATACTGCAGTTTGTTTCAAATGAATAATACAGTTAAACAGTTCTAAAAGGATTATTTTTTGTAAAACTTAGAAAGAAAGAAAGAAAGAAAGAAAGAAAGAAAGAAAGAAAGAAAGAAAGAAAGAAAGAAAGAAAGAAAGAGAATC